CAGTATTATATTTTTCCTGATCTTTCAGGACTGTCCTCATGGTCGTCCAACGATCCGGCACATGTTCAACCTCCAAATGTTGAAGGAAGACACCGAGGGAATTTGAAAGACAGGTATGCACTTCTTTCTGTTGATTTATTGACTGACACCTGGTGGTCCGACATTATACCCCAGAACGACGCTGGAATCTAGGAATGAACCGCAGTCGTAAAACTGTGATTGGAGCTGTTGGAAATCGTAGTTGTTCGCACTGAACTTCAGCGCGTTCACGTAAATCGTCTCGCTTCCATTATTCAGCGTGATGATGATGAAATGCTGCGTTATCCAGGTTTCTTCTTCAAAATGAGTAACTCCGGGTTTCGATGCACCAATGTACTCTGAATAAAGCATTTCCCGTTTTGTGATCAGAAAGTATTTGAGCCAGCTGAATACAATAAATGATCCTGCATAAAATTCCCGCTGTTGGGCTGCCATTCTAAAAATTGAATTGGATGCACCGAATTAATTTTTATGAAGTTTAAGTGACTTTGTTTCATAAGTTTTTTCATAGTTTTGATTCTTTTGAATGATTTAAAAAAAAGGAATCTATAAGCCAACAAGTTACTGTACATGAAACAAGTCTGATGTTCGTGAGATTTCAAATATTCTTTTGAACGAATTTCTTGGATAAATTTTCTTCAGTATGGATTCCTCATTTTAAAAAGTATGTACTGTACAGAAAATTATATACTTGTAATCTAACAAAAATGTAAATTGTATATGCTTCTCCAAAATCAAGAATATTGCCTTTCTGAAAGTTTTTGTTTTTCGACTTGGTCAATTCTTTCAAATCATAATGGAGTATTGTAAAATTGAATTTTCATTGAGGTGTAAGAACTGAAGTTCTCTTATTTTCTAAGATAAAAAGGTTTCCTTTTTCCTCTTAATGGGCAGCCCAATCGCGAAAACTTGAGTAGTATCTCTCTTCTTCTCACCTTCACTGCTCAAATAGCTGCTCAAAATCGTGAAAGCAATCGTTTCTTGTCGTCCTTGATGTTCTTGAGCATTTATTCCCAAGTTCTTACATTGTTCGAGTTTTATTTCTACCGTGAAGATGCCGCCATCATTCCAAATTTTTGTGAGGTTCTTCCAGTCATTGATGCTCACAGTCCTTCAAGAATCAAGATCACATTGTTCACATTAACTATTTTTAAAAATGGACTACTGTTCACAAACCTGGACGATGCTTCGAATATCGTGATGGATTGATTGGTCGTGTCAGGATTGGGCCCAAGATCTGTAAAAGTTGTCTCTGTGGTGGTCTTAAAGATTACAGTATTTTGAAAATTAGAAATATTTCCTTACCTGATGCAATTTCTGGGTATGGTTTCTCAAGTGCTAGTTCGCCTGTTTGCGATGTCATCCATTGAGGAACTTTCCATGCGCTGATCTGTAAATTTGAAAAATTTGACAGACGGATTAAAAAAAAAAATTGGGCTAGTTTGGGCCATAACCAACTTTGACGGTTTTCTGGACGTGGTATACTCTTGAGTGAAAACGTCCGAAATCGAAATGGAAAATATTTTTAGCGTGGGTTATTAAAATTTTTAAATGTTCTCTCGTTCTTTTATTACGTTATTTTCATCTTTAATCATGTATTTTAAAACGTAACCGGCCTTACTGTCCCTGCACCCAGATTTAAATGATCAATGCAGCATTTCATGAATCAATTCTTGTAGGTTACGTTGTAGTAAGATTTATTTTGAGATTCAATTGTGCTGTATCAAGTTTTTTTTTTTTACTGTAGGTCACTAATGAAAATATTGTAGTACGAAGATATACTGACGGTATTGGAGAGAGAATCGTCGCTTTCGTTTCTGTTGCCACATGCTTCCGTCCTAATTAGCACCGTGGCTGATTTGCCGAACCCTGAATCTGTCGCATTTTCCGCCAGCATTTCCGCATCGTTAACTGCAAGAAAAGTGCGTGTTTGTGTGTTCAGTCAAATTATTCAACGTTCGAATTTATCTTCATCAATTTACATCGCTGTGTGACGAGGTGTACGTTTTTTGCCAAGCTGCATTGAATCTTGTATGACTGCGATAGACGTGGCTCCGTGAAAATAACATCAACCTGATCCCCGTTCCCGAGCATTGAATGGAAGATGAATTCCACTGAAGAGCCGAATTCCGGGACTCCGTAAATCGTGGCTGAAATTTGCTCTTCCCTGTCTTCAGATTTGGGTCAAAAATTTGATAATTAATGATTTCACAATGTACGACGTTTTTTGAGCGTATTAGTGGTACCCCTGATAATGGACTAGGTTGAAACCTATTCTTGCTTCGTATGAAATCTGCCCCTAACGGAGGGGCAGATTTCATAAAAAGTGAGTACGGTAATCTTCTAAAATTCGAAGTCTATTTCGAATACTGTATATGGCTGCTAGAATATTTTTCAAGTTTCGGAAAGCTTTCATGGCATTTTTAGGTTTGTTAGGAATTGTCTTCCTCTTTCTGATTTTTTTCGATCATGGATTTCATTTTATTTTATTTTTTTATAAACAACGAAAATTTCCAAAGGTCCTGGAACAAATAAGCCATACCGTACTTCACATTGTTCAAGCACGGATTTTTCTAGGGCCTGAAATCAATGAACTATGTATATTACTCGATTAATAGACCTCCCGAATGGTTGGGTTGAGCTTTGGAGAGGATTGAGTATATTAACCGAGGTATCACTGTACTTCGTATTACCGATGCGATAATTTTCAAAGCTTTGAAAGTCCAAGTTCATGATTTCCAGGAGACCAGTGATATGTGTAGAGCACGTAGAAAAATTCGCTGAGCCCTGAATCCAATGTCCACTCTCTAGCTCGTGTTTCAAGCTCTCAAAGGATTTCACCCGGATACTGTGAACAAATCGTCGAAGAAATCGATTTACTGTTTTTTAAACTGATCTTGATGACGGTAGACAAATTTGTATCTTTTTTAATCAAATTGGGGCTTCTAGCGAACGTAGAATCTTCTAGAAATCTAGATCACAACAAAGCTGCGGGTTGACCATGGAACTTTACGGAACCATTATTTACCTTGATATAATCATTGAAGTACTGTATTTCTTTCATTAACTTGTTACTTCTAATATTCTCATCAAAAAATAAAAAAAATTAGTTGAACGAATAATATTGTAGTAGACTTGTTGCAACATTTCTAGTCTTTCTGTTGGAACTAGGAAACATTTCTTGTATGGAAAAACATGCAAAATCTTGTTAGCGTGAGCCCATAGGCAGTTCATATTTCCCAAGAACAAGTATATTGTACTTACTACTCGAATTTTGATGGATATGCATGATGGAATACTGCCCCTTTTCCCATCTCGCAGTTGTGTTTGAAAATGACTGGCTTAGTGTTCTGGTGTGTGTTCAGTAAAGTTTCATCCACTTCAACTGTACCGGCTTCTGTGATTATCAAGCTTCTGGTCCTCCAATCATTGTTTCCTTCTTCAAGGAAAAATAAGCTTGTGTTTTAGACCAGAATTCTAATTATACGGACGCGGGTAAAACAAGCATTAATTAATTATGCCCAAAATTTGCATTTGCTTGGGAGCGAGCGAGAGAGTTTAAAATTTCAACTTCACCCTTTTTGGCAGGCGGACTGTCAGTTGGTGGTGAGACTACTGGTGAGTGGTGGCTCACCGGGAGATTTTCAGAAATTTCATTGAAAGAAAGGTAGGTCATACTGAGATGTTCCTTCAGTTGAATTTTACGATCAGTTCGATTACGTGTAATATGTAATCCTCCGAATAAGGGCTCACAGTCTTTTGGAAAATTTTAATTCTTCTGCGTGGTTTCTTTCGAAAGGTACATTTGGTATTTCACTACAGAAACGTTGTGGTTACTATGATGACTCACGCCATTTTATGAAGTCTTCATTTCGGATTATTTTGCCATCAGCATTTCTTTCTATCCACCAGTTAGACAATGTCATTGAAATGTTGGATTTGAATCCAACCGGAAAATTGTGAGGTTCGCAAAGATCTGGATAAACTGTGACTGTGATGAGGTCGCCTTCCAGCAATGTCCGTTCCAAATTCAGGAAATTCTGGTAATCTGTTTTTTTTTAATGGACTGTTTTCAGATTTTGTCTGCTGCCTTTTCTTCGAAATTTACAATAATTATTTCACCTATTGTGGATGCTATGGATGAGCATAGTGTTAAAATCAACGCTGCACTTCCAACAAATGTTTTCCACTTTTTACACATTTTAAAACGTGTATCACTAATCAACTGCGGCTTCCAGTCAGGAATAGCCAAATATTTCGTGGACAGGTGCTCGCTTACTCATGAAGATAAGAGTGTTCCCGATAAAGAATGTCATTTCGATTCCAAAATAATTACAACAAGAGATGCTTTAATTTAGCTGCCATCATCCGCACGACTGACAATTTTTCTGAAATACTTTCGTATGACAATTTGAAAAAGGAATGTGACGGAAATTGTCTTCTCTTTTCTCACAGGTGCAATGAAAACATCAAAATGGCAAACTGGAATACATTCAAGATTTGAGTATCTTCCGCTTGGCGGAACGCGGAGTATTTCCTTTTACAGATCTTCGGGAAGACGTTGGTTCACTTTTCCTGAGTTCCTTTGTACGACGTGCCTCTCTGTCTCGAGCAATGACATGCATCTGTTCAGTCGTCGACAGAGCAAAGAAAATGTCGTGGAATTTTTCTATATCCGAGCGCATCTGCAGGATAGAATTTTTTTATATTTTGAAAACCGTCCAGTGCGTGTTTTTTATGAAAAAGAAAATGCTGACAAGTGATGAATAAAATTTCCTAGTATTTTTATATTTGCGACGAATTTAACCTCTAGTTTGTCACATCTATGAACCTCTGAAACGTGAACGAAGTTTCAAGCGTCATCTGAAAATTGATGGGTACCACGATGCAAGTGGAAGATAATAGAACTTCAATTGACCAATATTCCTACGTTTTCTAGGAATTCGTCCAGCGATGAGCTTCTTGCTTACAATAAGCAGTTCATTGCAATCTTCACGTGATGTAACGCAGAAAAATATTTGCGTGATAAGATTTTAACATGTTGAGCGAGATTATGCCGTGATTTCTTGATTACGTGTAAATGCTAGAAATGGCACCATTCAGGCAGTAAAAAATTAATTTAACATTAAATTATTGACCTTATTGATTCAAAATAGAGTCAAGTCCAGCAAAAAATTCAACCGTGGTCAGAAAATGACTCAGTATAAAAATACGTACATCGATTTAACAGAACTCCAGTGTCCAATTACAAAGCAATTGGACTAAACTTCAAAAGGGTCATACAGTAGTTACTTTTGCACTACCTGTGCATGTTTTTATTGTCGAAAAATCGGAATTAAAAAAAAATGGGGCATATCGTAGACAGATCCACGCATTAATATTTTCGTTGATCCTCTTTTTCTCAAAATATATACATCAGTTGTAACTCTACAGTAAATATGACATTTGAATTCATATTTTCCTTCCTACTGCAGCCCTATAAAATCTTTTTGAATGATGTAGAGTATTCGCAAACTAAGGTACAACATGGGCTTATATATCCACAAAATTGATATTTAAATGTGTACCTGCGCAACGAATCGTTTCCTCAACCAGGCTTCCTCTTCAGAATCTCCCAGCTCATAAGCAACTTTGGCTGTGTCCAAGATGCACCTGATGAGATTTATAGTTTTCTCAGTCCTAAGAAGGCGGCGGGTGAGGAAGCCTTTCGCGTGCGCGGAGACCTTGCACCAAACTTTCTGTGATTTGGGATCCAACGCCTGAAGAAAAAGAACATCAAAAAAGCCTTTAACCACATGGCCTTTAACATTCCACTTCCAGCATTGACGTACTTCTTCAGGAACGTAAATGAAGGACACGGGTTCTTCGTGAGGAGGAACCGGAGTTGCAAGAGAATCTTCCATGGTGAGCCCATCCAATGTTGATGCAAACGATGACCGTGTTCCCGGAATTTTGCTCAAGCCGGGTTCATCGGCGATGCACTGTTTCCAAACCGAACCCGGTGTTCTCTGCAATCGAAGAATAATTTAGTTGGTCTTGTCTGAATAAAATCTAAAATACAAGGGCTGTCAGTCTGGTTTCCGCGCAAAATGAAGTGTCCACAAGAAAATGGATTGCAATAATTTTAAGGTGATCTGATCACAACAAAATTTAGTTAGTATTCCACAGACATACAAACACGTTCCATCTCATCGCAAAAAATGCTTCGAAAATCAATGGAAAATGCGTGTGGAATAACGTAAATCGTAGCAGTCAAATTTATTCTAACACAAGAATTTAATCAATGCAGATAAATATCCTCATACTGATCCAAGAATGCAGGACTTCAGAAGTTTAAATTACAGTATACTTGAAAACAGGAAATAGTTCCAGAACGGTCTGGGAATCACCGAATACCGGAAAAATGGAATTAAATATGTTATGCAGTAATGCAACAGCATGTCTCGGAATTTTCAAAATAAATTAAACAAAATCAGCACAAAAATTGGTGTACATACTTTCTTCTCCGATTCAGCAAGGAAAAATGTCAACCCATGCTTTTCTTTGAGGAAAAAACTCACGGATTCGTGGATTTCAGCCATCCGATGTTCGTATTCGTTGTCACGCGCATCGGAAATTTTTTCTGAAATGCCGCTTCTGTCGTCCTTCAAACTTGCATCAGTTCTAGCAGAAGTAATGACAGAACTTGCTTTTCGAAACTCTGAATCGTCGTTTACAACGGAGGCATCCGGAGTCTGGGAAACTCGACAGTTTCCTTCCGCTGACGATGGACAAGTCCGTTGTGTTGCAACCGATGAGTTCTGTCGATCCTGTGGAAATTTGAATACGACCAAAATGCATTAATCTTTCAAAATATTCCGTAATTACGACAGTTGGTTAAAATGTTCCGCCAGTCTTCACATCACCTCTTTTCAGGATTGAATATTGAATCTTTCCAGACAATAATTTCCACTTTTTGCCCTCCAAGGTAAAAATACAGTACTTCAAATTAAAATGAAAGAGTTCTTCAGACAACATCAGTCAGTGTGCAAAAAGTTCTTCAACATATAGACTTCGGTGGAAATGAATTCTTAATGACTGAAAAAAGGCTTGCCTTATATTTATCTAACAGTGCTCCAAATAATCTTGTTCAATAAATTCAGGTACATAAATACGAAGGTACTTGAACTTCAACGAGAAACCTAATTTTCAGGATGAAGAAGTGGATCGAATCAACGCAGTTAATTGAATGACTTCCAAGAAAAGTTAATTTGGAATTTTAAACGATTGAAAGTTTTTTTTTCCACTCAAGAAGCTTTCGGGAAATATTTCATATCAGCGGCAAATCTTTTGAACCAAGCCTCAAGAAATTAAAAATGAACTCACTTGAATTGAAGAACTTTGCTGGAGCCCGAACCGCATCCAAAGTTCCTCCATTTCAGTTTGCTGCAAAATTTTAAGCTTTTCCAGTTGATGGGCGTGTTTTCTAGCCATTTCCGCGAAAAAGTCGTCACGCATACGCTTTACAGAATCATCACAAGTGCTTTGAGACATCTCGACGACTTGACCATTTGGCCGATGTTTTCCAGCAGCGGATTCTCGAACGGGTTCTTCATCAAAGTAGATCAGTGGTTGATTCGGACATGGCTCAGAATCAGTCACTTGTTCGGCAGCAGATAGTCTTTCTGAATGACCAACAATCGCAGAAGCATCGGTTTCTCCATCAGACAAATTACAATCCACCGGGGTTTCCGCGGAAGGAATTGTTAACGATGACAATATTTCCTGAAAGGCTTTCCTGTGATTAACCAACGGCTGCATTGAAGACAAGTTCACTTTCAACGCGGATCTTGGAGAAGCAGGTGCGCGAAT